CCCCCCCCCCTAACTGCAACCAGCAGGTCATTGGTCATTGTAAAGACTTGTTTGCGTGACATTAGTTGCTCTAGAGACAACTCTGGATTATAATGATCCTTCAAGTTCACGTCAGACGGGTTATGTGCCAGAAGCGTAACAAGGTTCATGGGCGGCACATCTCACACAGCAGCGTGAACACCCAATCATCACGCTTATGAACTCCGAAAGGATCGGTTTAGGGTTTTGGTTAAGGAACCTTGGATACAGCCCACTGAGTTTTCAGAAAGGGTGACATACATAGTCCGCATGTACTCAGTGCAGACACACAAGAGCATGTATATTTTTAAAATATCGCCGATACCCTGTGATTTTATTCTTTTGTTTCTACCTTAATAAGTGAAAACAGGAACAAAATTAGGGAGCGGATCATTCTCTATGCAAATTTCTTGCAATAGCCCCACCCTTTATAAAACTCGACTCTGTATTGCTTTACGACACGATGTCGTGAAATAACGGAGCATTGACGTAGCATTGGCGGAAGCTAGCCTTGTGCTTTACGGCAACGACTGTAGGTAGGTTCGCATCCGGATAGGCTCAAGAGGTGCAGGGCGGGCTGCAGGTGTGCAAGGGCTGCAGGTAGCGGCATCCGTTTTCGTATCTAACTTTAGGGTTTGTTTTTGAGTCTTCAGGAAGGCGAGATTAATCCCCCCACTTCACTGCTGGGAGTCAGAGATTCTGTTACTGGCCCCGGAGCGGTCGCTCTCCCTTACCTGCGTGGTTTCCTGGACGCATACTTTCTTAGGCTACTTAGACTCGCCCTCCCTTCGCCTAGGTGTCTCGTCGTTTGATTTGGTTTTAGTTCTGTTCTTTGGGAGAAGTCCAGTTTCCGGTGCCTCCTGAGCGGGTCCCCCTCTCGCCTCCATCTTCGTCCCCCGGGAAGCCCGGCCCCTCGCTCGCCGCGGCCGGGAATGGAGCGGGAGGGCTCTTCCCCGCCCGGAGAGCGCCCTGCTTCTGACCTCGGACAGGCCCTGTCCCAGATCCTGCACCGTCTGACCGGCCCGGAGTCCCGACGGGGCAGTGCCAGGAATGCAGCTCTCCAGGACCTCAGCGCTCTCCTGGAGGCCGCAGGGTGCGATCGGTTATTTGCGGGGAGTGACACGCCGCTCGGCGGAGCGCCGGGGACGCTGGGGGAGGTGACAGCCGCCCTGGAGAAGCACGCAGCGCCCCGCAAGGAGGAGGAAGGCGGAGCGGATGGGTGCTCTGCGGTGGCCGAGAAGGCGGCGGCGGTTGGGCTGCTGTTCACTAAGCTCCTGAGGAGAGTGGAGTCGGCCAAGGAGTCCCCGGGCTGCCTCGCGTGGAAGAGAGGCCTGCGCCACCTGGCTGGACCCATCTATGTGTTTGCCATCACACACAGCCTGCAGCAGCCGTGGACCAGGCCGGGGTCTCGGGAGGTTGCAAGAGAGGTGCTCGCCTTACTGCTGCGCGTTACTGAGTGTGGTTCTGTGGCAGGATTCCTCCACGGGGAACACGAAGGCGAGAAAGGGAGGTTTGCTGAGATAATGGGGCTTCTCCAGCCCGATTTGAATAAGTAAGTACCCACCCCTGCAGAAAGGGCCAAGGGGGGGACTTCAGGCTGTTTGAGAATGTGAGAGCGCGAAGGCGGTTAAGGCCCAGAAAGGTTGGGTCTCTATGAATGACATAAGTTGCCCTGGCCGGTTTGGCTCAGTGGGTAGAGCCTCGGCCTGCGGACTGAGCGGGCCCGGGTTTGATTCCGGTTGAGGGCACATCCCCAGTAGGGGGTGTGCAGGAGGCGGCTGATCAATGTTTCTCTCTCATCGATGTTTCTGACTATCCCTCTCCCTTCCTCTCTGTAAAAAATCAATAAAATATATAAATGACATAAGCAGCTAGTGGTAAATTTGACATTAGCATACAAATCTTCAGACTCCACTTTCTAGTGTTCTTGTCGGTCCTCCTGACGACTACCCTGGAAATGGGAAGTTCTGTCTCATTTATTTAGATTGAACTCTCTGAAATAAGATGGAGGTGGGAGCGTGGAGAGAGAGGATTTAAACTTGTAGTTTGTACGTAGGGATCTTGAAAGTCATCACTAGTAGATAGGGAGGGATAGTTATTAGAAACGGAAGCAGTATTTGGGATGAAAAATACAAGCTTTAGATTGCTATTAGATAAAGTATTGTTTTAAAAATCTTTATTCTGTCTTTCTCTTTTTTTAACACTTGCTTTTTTTTTTTTTTTTTTTAAAAAAAACAACACTTTATAGAGAGGAAGGGAGAGGGATAGAGAATTATAAATAGAAAGAAACCTCCATCAGCTGCCTCCTGCATGCCCCCAACTGGGGATCAAGCCTGCAACCAAGGTACATGCCCTTGACCGGAATTGAACCCGGGATCCTTCAGTCCACGGCTGATGCTCTGTCCATTGAGCCAAACCGGTTAGGGCTAGATAAAGTATTATGTTGTGACTTTCCATTTGCTACTTTGTGTGTTAGTATTTGTGATGAGTGGACATTTGTTCCTGTCCAAGATGACCATGGAGACATTTGATTTAGCCAAAAGGTTCTTGAAATGTGGTCTTTTCCAAAACGTCCACAAGACATTTGGTCCATGCAAGCTCATCTCCCTAACCCCATGTGTTAGGACCAGCAAGGCTGTCTAGTGGAGAAGGGTTATTATTGGCAATACAGGCACAGCACAATTATTGGACCAATAAAACGTGATAGTATTTTATGTATGAATCCTGCAAACCAGGAGTATAAATAAACGTTGTGGGTTCTTTGGGCCCAGGGACATTTGCTAAGTGTGGACACTGTTGACAGGACCAAATGTCGGGCTGCTGGCATGGACCAAAGATGCTCATGGATGTTTGGACCTAATGTGCTGTGAGGGTATCGTAGCACTGCAGTAATAGAAAACTGTGTGCACAGCTGTCATTGTGCTAGGAACTTGGAATTAAAAGGCTTAGTTTTGATGCTGGTGGTGCTTCCTTTTATTGCTTCTGAGTAGGACCAGGTCAAATAATCTCTTCGATACTCAGTTTCATTATTTGTAACATAAAGGTAATATTGCCTGTTACAGTTATTTTGAAGATTAGTTGAGTAATGTGTGTAAACTCATTACTTGCTGTTCAGATTTACAAACTGCTGTTGAAATTTTGATTCCCTTATAATAATAATAGTAACAACAACAGCAACAAGAATCTGAAGACAGCCCTGACCGGTTTGGCTCAGTGGATAGAGCGTCGGCCTGTGGACTGAAAGATCCCAGGTTCGATTCCGGTCAAGGGCATCCCCAGTAGGAGGTGTGCAGGAGGCAGCTGATCGATGTTTCTCTCCCATCGATATTTCTAACTCTCTATCCCTCTCCCTTCCTCTCTGTAAAAAAAATCAATAAAATATATTAAAAAAAAGAATCTGAAGACATTTTTATTAGTTATCTCTCCCTTCTCAACGTATCCTCACTGTAGCCACTTCCACCATTGCCACAGATCCTTTGCATTGCTGTGCTTATGAATGGCTTCTTCTCATTGGATAAGCTTTAGACTCAGAGCCCTGGGTAAATGTTAAATGTATGTAGTGTAAGTTCTGTAAGTTATTTTGATTTAAGTCTTAAAATGTATGTTATTAACATCAGGAGTTACCTTATGTGGGATGTATTTTTTTCAATGACAAGGGCATACTCTGTTTAGCTTAATTTTCTTTGCTAGTTAACACCATGTCACTGTACTTAATTTGGCTTCACATTCCCACTTAGGGAATCCTGGAAGAATAACCCTGCCACCAAACATGTTTTCTCCTGGACTCTGCAACAGGTCACTAGACCCTGGCTGAACCAACATCTAGAAAGGATTCTTCCCCCATCCTTGCTCATCTCAGATGACTATCAAATTGAGAACAAAGTCCTGGGTGTCCATTGCCTCCATCACATTGTGCTTAATGTGGTAAGCAACCTCTGCTCTGATGGACAGACTGAGTCATATGGCTGTTCCCCATCCATGATGTCACTAGTTTATTTTGCCTACTAGTATGTTTGTATCTTTTATTAACTAACTTTCTGTTATTGCAGTTATGTGACTAAATTCGCTTATTTATGTTTTTTCTCTTTATATTCATTCCATCTGCCAACCTAGTAGAGGTTATATCTCATAGGTAATATATATAAGAAATGTGTGCTATTATTGTGCACATAGGCCACTTTCAAACTGAAAGATTTGAATAATTAACAGTTGACTTTCAAGGATCAAAAAAATCAAACTGGCAGGGGTTATATTCAGATGTGCAAGCTATTACTCGAGGAAGTTTGTATTTTTCTTTCTTAACTGTGTGTCATAGAGCTTTTAAAATACACACAGAAGTAGAGAGAGTGGTATAATGGATCCCATATACCCATAATTCAATTTTTTAAATTATCAACATTCTCCTGCCTTGGCTAACTTTTCTTTTAATTGGGTGATTTGTCTGATTGCAGCCAGCTGCTGATTTGCTCCAGTATAACAGGGCCCAGGTCCTATACCATGCCCTTTTCAACCATCTGTACACTCCGGAGCACCACCTCATTCAGGTAATTGTAAGATTTGTTGGTAACTGAGTCTAAGTTCTCAAATTTGAGTGGCAGGTGGCATTATGTGAATAAGAATAGTTGAGAGACATTTTCTTGGAGAGTGAGGATGATAACTAAAAGCCATTGCCAAGTTGAAAATATGAAGGTAGCAATGACTGGTGAAAATATCTCCATACCAAGCCACCATCCACATCCTTGAGTACCCACAGAAAAGCCAGTGTTTTCTCTTTATCTGGGTCAATTACATATCACTTGGGGGCAACTTTATGTCTGAAAAAGTTCTATTTTTATTAATTTAAGCGTCTTTTGTGCTGACTTATTATAAACATACACACACTTGAAATCCCTTGTATGTTGGATGTGTTAGTGTTATTTATTCTTTCCTCCAATAGAACTGAATACCTACTGTGTGCCAGTAACCATTGTAGGTTCCAAGAGTGAATGAATCAGACAGGATTTCTTAGAGCCAGAGACCCTTTGGGAGATGTTTATGTGAATATAAATGTTTATACATATGTCTACAGTATAAAGTGGTAAATCTATTAAAGGAGGTTTGTATAAAGTGCAGTGGGTGTCCAGCAATAAGCAGCTAACCAGGTTTGGTGGTGGTTTTAGGAGGATTCCAGAGGAGGTGGTATTTCCTTATGAAGGATAAATAGGAGTTTTGATGGGGAGGAGGAGGAGAATATTCTCACAACAGAAGGAACAAGTTATAAACAAGTTACATAAAATTAGAGATAGAAATAACCATATTTCTTTTTTTTAAATTTATTTTTATTGATTTTTAGAGAGAGAGGAAGGGAGAGGGATAGAGAGATAGAAGCATCAATGAGAGGAAACATCATCGATCAGCTGCCTCCTGCATGCCCCCTACTGGGGATTAAGCCTGTAACTCAGGCATGTACCCTGACTGGGAATTGAACTGATAACCTCTTGGTTCCTGGGTCGACATTCAAATGCTGAGCCACACAGGCTGGCACCATGTTTCTTATTTTATGCCTACCCACACTTAACCCCTCACTTTGCCACCTTTCTTTTTTAATTATTCTAGGCTACTGATGGCGAACCTATGACACGCGTGTCAGAGGGGACACACGAACTCATTTTTTTGGTTGATTTTTCTTTGTTAAATGGCATTTAAATATATAAAATAAATATCAAAAATATAAGTCTTTGTTTTACTATGGTTGCAAATATCAAAAAATTTCTATATGTGACATGGCACCAGAGTTAATTAATTTAGGGTTTTTCAAAATGCTGACACGCTGAGCTCAAAAGGTTCGCCATCACTGATCTAGGCATTGAAAATCCAGGTACTTTACAACTAGAAAGGTTAGGACTCTTGAGATGGTGTTTGAGAGGAAAAAAACACTACCAAAAAACTACAAGAAAACCAAAGAGCCAGGAGAGCTAGAAGGGATTGCCTAAACACTGAAACCTCAAATACAGTGGTCCAATTGGACACAAATGAGGACCATCTTAGATTCTATTTAGAAGCAGTTTTGTTTTAAGTACATTTAAGTATCACTTAGACTTAGTAATACAGTGACAATAGACTCAGACTCCTAAAATTTGGGTTGAAGTCCCAGCTCTGTCTTCCCATTTTATAGCTTAGCAAAGAACAGTCCTGAGGAGAAACCACTAACTTATTTGGGACTGTCAGATAGAGATAATGTAAAAAAAAAAAGAGATTAAAAAACATAAAGTAATATACACTTAATGTATTATAACTAGTATGTTTTAGAATTTTATGACATTACATTAATAGATTATTAACGTTGCTAGATACCTCAGAGAGGGTTGTGAATGCGAATGGATGGCTACAGCTCCTGTCCATTGCTCTCTGCTAGGCTGTGTTGCTGTGTCTGCTGGATCTGTTTCCAGTCCTGGAGAAAGGCCTGCACTGGAAGGGAGGTGCAGCTCGACCCACCACACACTGTGATGAAGTCCTGCAGCTGATTCTGACCCACATGGAGCCAGAGCACCGCATTCTCTTACGCAGGACCTACGCGAGAAATCTGCCAGCTTTTGTGAAGAGGTGAGTGCTCGGGCTGCTGGTTGGCCATCCTCCAGACTTCATTCCTTTGCTGTCACATTTTCTCTTTGTTTGTAGGCTGGGGATCCTGACCGTCCGGCACTGGAAGAGGCTAGAGCGAGTCATCCTTGGTTATCTGGAGGTTTATGACGGGCCAGAGGAGGAGGCGAGATTGAAGATACTGGAAACCCTAAAACTTCTCATGCAGTATACTTGGCCCAGGTATAACAGCCAGCAGACATGTGTGGTGAGAGGGGCAAAACTCAGATTTTCTCTTCAGAACTTGCCCAGATGTCCATGCAGTGCAGAGTGTTAAGGATATGCCACGTATACCTCCCATACCTATTGAACTGAGAAAAATGTCATTTAAAAGATAAACTGTACCCATTGTTGCTTCAGGTGTACATCTCTCTAGATTAATAGGCACATTAAATTTAAAAGGCCATGTAGAAGTGCTTCAATAAAGACAGGCCTAGCTTTGTTCATATTAATGTTTCTGACATCCAGGTGGGACCAGAGCACTTCATAGCACAATACTGAACAGTGATCAGGAGAATACCAGGTTAGAATCTGATTGCCTAGAAAGCAGTGCAACTCTGGCTTGAAGTAGTACTGGGAACAGTAAACTGGTATTCAAACATGTTCAGTCAACAGAAGGCTTTCTTTTCTTTTTTTTTTAATCCTCGCCCAAGACTGTTTTTATTGATTTGAGAGAGAGAGGAAGAGAGAGAGATAAATGTGAGAGAGAAACATGGATTGATTTCTCCTGTATGGGTCCAGACTGGGGATTGAATCCAAAATCTAGGTGTGTGCCCTGACCGGAAATCAAACCCACAACTTTTTGGTGTATGGGACAACACTCCAACTGAGCCAGGGCAACAAAAGGCTTTCTTGCATGAAATAACAAAGTTTAATTCATCTAGAGTCCAGTGCCTTACCTACATACATATCTATTCTGAACCATATTATCTCATTTCTTTATAATGTACCCAAGTGTTTCCCTAAGTCACATTTGGAACCAGGTTGCATTTGTTTACTTTCTCCCTACTGAATTATAGGCTCCAGGAGGATGAAGACCACTTTGGTATACTGAGCGTATCAGAGTTTACTCAGTACCTGGTATTAGATGCACAAATATTTAAAGAATGTAATAGATGGACAAATGAAACTGAATCATATTAATACTGTCAGGCCTTTAAAGAGCAGAGACCAAGATTCAAAGTAGAGAGATTGGCAAGCAAACGCGTAAGGGTTAGAAAGTGAATGTGATGTATTGTGGAGGGGTGGGGCTTGGGAAACAGCAGATTACATATTGAATGATGACAGGTAGAAGGCTAAGCAATACACAGATTATAGGAAAACATTTCATTTTTTAGATTAAGGCAGGGGATGCAAACTTTTCCATATTTCTGCCCATAATCGTTTATTATGCATATTTTCACACTATGTTAAAATTACTTTCCAGCTGCCACGAAAGCTTTTTAGTTTTTATTGTGGTAAAAAACATACACATAAACGTATACTATTTTAAAATGTACAGTTTGTTAGGTACATTTCCAATTTTGTGCAACCATCACAATTTTCTTAGAAAGGCTAATAAGCAGAAGTGAATAGGGCGGGTTTCACTGATTGATAGAAAATTCAGATTGACACTTAAGTCCCAGAAGCCAAGCTTATTTCCTCTTTTTAACTTTGTAGCCTGAGACTGCATAAAAGTTAAAGGATAATGGGCTACTTCCTGTTCTCTGGCCGAAAGTGTGGGACCCTGATAAGGGGAAATCCCAGTTCTCCCTCTTCAGGATATGCTATTTCCTTAGAGTGGAGGCAGGCTTCCAGAGGGGAACAGGCCAGGGTGTGTGTATGGGCAGTGCTTAGAAAACAGTGGGGCCTGAGGAAATCGAGCCTGGTTTCTGGTTCTGCTTCCAGCGCTTTGTCATTTGACTTTAGTTCCTTCATTTGTGGAGTCTCCAGTTTAACATCCTGATTTAGAGTATGAAGAGTTTTTCTTCTTGATTCCAGAGTTTCCTGTAGACTTGTGGTCTTACTGAAGGCTCTCTTGAAACTGATATGTGATGTAGCAAGGGATTCAAGCCTTTCACCGGAGCCTGTTAAGGGTGCTTTATTAGAGGAGGCCACAGACTGCCTGCTTCTCCTGGACCGCTGCTCTCAAGGACAAGTGAAGGTAAGGGACAGCATGCCACGTGGTTTCATTAGGCCTCATTATCCTTAAGTCCTGTTTGCTATTCATGTGTCTGGCCGAGTCTGTAAATGAATGTGGAGGGTTCAGGTCTCCATTTCTGGAGCCCTCTAACCTTCTGTGGACTTTGAGCAAAGGTATTCAGGACTGTTCAGCTCAGAAGGCAGAAGGATTAGAAAGTATCTCTGGGGTCTTCTTTCCTGTAACATTTCTCGGGAGCCAAAGCAGAGCACCGCCTAAGCCGTGTTTCTTCCATCCTGATTTCTTCCTTGGTTTCATCGTCCCCAGCATTAATGAACATATTCCCCTCGCCCTCCCCACACCCCGAAAAAAGAAAGTATCTCTGGGCCTAGGACAGAAAATGGGCAAAAGGATCATGATCAAGTGTTTATAAATTCTGTTCCAGTTAAAAAAAAAAACAGGCCCAGCCAGATGAGCAACGACCCAGGAACCAAGAGGTCACCAGTTTGATTCCTGGCCCCGAATCTGGTTTACTGAACACATGCATTTGTGTTCCACACCCTGTGCAACAGCAACTTTGCAGGGGGCCCTCTTGCACTCTGGGACCCTTCAGGGGATGTTGGAGAGCCGGTTTCAGCCCAATCCCTGCAGGCCAGGCCTAGGGACCCCACCTGTTGGAGGGACCCCACTCATTCCACAGACACTCTTCAAGCCACAGTGCCACCCCAGGTGCGGCCGATCATGGAGGGACCGCAGGAGGTTGGCTCCAGGGTGTGTCTGGCCTGTCTTGCCCAGTCCCGCCCCACCAGCCACCTTCTAATTAATTTCCTTTCAATGTGCATGAATCCATGCACCAAGTCACTAGTAGCATATAATAGCTATGTGTGTGTTTATATATATTTAATAAACTATTGCCTCATTTCTTACCATTAGAAATCTTCATTTGAAAGGGTGTAAGGCAGCCTGAAAAGAAATTCATATCCTAAAAATACTTAGAAATAGCATAGTTTCTTGTTTTATTAGTTTATTCAGATTGAGATTCATCTTTGCTCTTCAATTTCAGGCAGTTTTTAAGTCCTAGATCCCATTTAATTCATCTCAGCTGGTATTAAGCTGCTGCTTCATGAGCCATTTCCAAACATGTCAACAATTCTTAGTCATACTTGTTGAGTATGAAACCAAGAAGAACCAAGGTAAAAGGAAAAAAAAATTACCCCTCCCTCCCCCCAATCAAAACTTGTTTGGTTTCATGTTTCAGGGTCTCCTGGCTAAAATTCCCCAAAGCTGCGAAGACAGCAAGGTGGTGGAGTGTGTCAGAAAGGTGCAGCTGGTTTCTGAAGGCGCTCCCTACAGTGGAACTTAAAAACTTTGCAGTACTTTCCTAAAGAGAAGAGGATCTTCTTTTTGTATAAATGGAATTATTTAAAGAAAAAGGTATTTTTGTACTGGACAGTATAATTTAGATCTTTTTCCTTCTTGTCTTTTACTTCTAATAGGAGTAGGCAAAGAACAAGAAAAAAACTGAAGTCTGGACATTTCTGAGTAAAGTTTTTTTTTGGGGGGGCGGGCACCTAAGGTGGCTACCATTTATAAACTAGAGGCCTGATGCATGAAAATTCATGCACTGGAGGTGTGTGTGGGGGTGTCCCTCAGCCTGGCCTGCCCCCTCTCACAGTCCGGGAGCCCTCAGGGGGCGGGTATTGATGCCCCCATCACACCTCTGCTGCTGCAACTGCCAGCAGCGCAGGCCTTGGCTGGCCCTGGGCAGCTGGAGGAGCAGCCGGCCCCACCCCCGCTCTGGGCACTGCCATGTTGTAAGGGTGTAATGGTCAATTTGCATATTGCCTCTTTATTATATAAGATATTTACAATCATAAACTAATCTGTCAAGCTATCACCTCGACACATTCCAAAGCTATAAAAATACTCTGTTTATAACTTTAAGGATTTCCTTCACTCTCCCCCAGATTTCTTGCTCTACAGAAGTGGCATAAATATAGAAAACACAAATATTGTGTTACATACAAAACAAAGAGTGAAAACTGGAGGTACGTATGTGATGACAATAGGATAAAGTTCAAAATGTTCAGTCCTGTTACAAATGTCTGAACATAATTCACGTGGTTTTGGCCTTGGCCACAGGCTCTGTCTCCTGCTCATACTCAATCTCCACATAGGCTCGTTTTCTCCGCAAAGTTCCTTTCAAGGGTGTTTTGCCTTTGTGTTTGGCGTCAAGGGCCTTTTCTTCTTCCTCACTGGAGGATTTCTCACCCTCATCTTCATCACTGCTGGCATCCAGTTTGTCCATATCCTAGCATGGGGAGGAAAGAAGAGCAGGGAAGATGCTAGTAGACTCATTCCCCAAACTCCATTGTCCTCTCAATTTTGAACAAACTAGAGGATTTATCTGCCTCTGTGTTTGGAAACCCTTCTTCCTGTCACCCATAAATCTCACCTCAAAGTCACTTATGTCACTCTCATCCACCTCATCAGCTTCCACAAACTCTCTTTTTCCCACATCCTAAAATAAAACATAACTGTTAGGTCAAAATACATGATGAAAATTCAACTTAGACAACTAGTTTTATGCAGTGGTTCTCAATCTTCTGGCCCTTTAAATGCAGTTCCTCATGTTGTGACCCAACCATAAAATTATTTTCATTGCTACTTTATAACTGTAATTTTGCTACTGTTATGAATTGTAATGTAAATATCTGATATGCAGGATGGTCTTAGGCAACCCATGTGAAAGGGTCATTCGACCCCCAAAGGGGTCGTGACACACAGGTTGAGAACCGCTGTTTTATAGTCTTTGATAAGTAAATGCATAAATAACAACCAGAATCAGTATTTACTTGCTAGGCAACCCAAGTCTACCTATTTCCAAGTTTAATTCTTCTGAAATCAGTATTTAAGATTTACAAACATTCAACTAAAATTATTAATTTCAAATAATCAAAAACTAGTTTAGTAACAGGAAAAGTATGCTTCTGTACCTATGTGAGTATACTTACCATCTACTTGCTAAATCTGCCCTTCTAAAAATAGTATGTTAATAGTAAGATTAAATCCTTGTAACTTTCAGTAGGTTCCTTAATGGTGTATTCTTACAGATGATGAAGGTTCTTCCTTTGTCTTTCACAGGAAAAATATTAGAAAGCCCATCAGTAAGATTAAAATTGTCAATGCACATTGGGTTAGCTGAACCTGGAGAACACAGAAGCCACTGCTGACCCAGAATTAACCTCGCTATAGAAAAATAAGATCATTTCATTACTTTTGGTTAAGAGGCTGAAAATGACAGCCTGTCTCTCAAAATAGATCTAGTCCTATAGATTACTGCTGGACAAAACAAAAGTACAAACAAGGCTTACTTCCTCATCATCTTCATCTTCTTGTTCCTCAGCATCTGAAGAGTCGCTCCCTGCCTCCTGCTGTTCCAGGGCCTTGTCGAAGGCATGAATGGGGAAGTTGTAGATGTCGCCATACTGAAGAACACACAGATTGGCTTTAACGATATTTGAATCTCACACTTAAAGTCCACTGTCCAACAAGCATACTTTTTCCTCAGTGAAATGAGAATATTTAACCCCTTCCCCAACAATTTTTTTGTTAAAAACGTTTCTTTTTCAGACTAATTTTTTTATTTTGGTTCTATATAGTATTTTTGATGCTGGTTATGAAAACAGTTTGTAACTCGTCTTCCTATAAACCATATTTTTTTTACCATATTTTCTTAGTATACTCGTCGACTGAAAAAGAACATTTTGTGAAAACGAGTATACACGTTTCTGCCGGGGAAGGGGTTAATTTGATGAGTAATATTTCTATCTTGTTTTCAAGTCTAGAGCTGGCAGTGTCTTTAAAAAGCCCATTTTAACATTTAAATAATCAGTGGTTAATGCCAAACTGGTAACTTCTATGAAGGATGGAAGAAAAATCACTTAAAACTTAGTAGTCTATAAAACCCAAGGAGTAGGACAGATGTAAAATTTTGCTGATAAAGGGGAATAAAGAAAATTTTTTTATTCATACTGTCTCTATAAATGACATTAAATCTTTAAAAGAGGAGAATAGACTGGAGGATCAGAATGATGGTTTTTGCACAGAGATCTGGAATTGTTGCATTTGGGAACAGGAGTTGGGAATAATGGCAAAAGCGAGAGAGAGGTCTCGTACCGAATGGAGTATCAAGAACAACCAAAGCATCTTATGTGCTGGCATCAATGAACTTAAATGAAGAAGCCAGGACCCATATGTTATTTGTTCCAGGAATAAAATCATGGTGAACATCTAGCACCTTTAAAAAGAAGACCCATTTCTCACTAGTCCCACATTTCCTAGCATGACAGTACCACCTACAACAAAATCCGTACCCCAAGCTCCTAGCTTTCTCACCGTATCTTGTTTAAGTCTCTCCAGCAATTCCTTTTCAATGGCATTATCCAGCTGGGCAGCTATTAATGCCTTTTCCTGTAAGAAAAAGAGCAAACCCATTTACCTCACTAGTATTCATTTTCTAGCCTGTACAAGAAGAAGAAACTATTAATTTTTTATAAGAAAGAAGATGTAATCACTTCTTCTTGCTATTATGGGGGCTTCTGCTTCTCCAACCAGATGTATTTACCTCTCAACTCTTCTTGGTAACCTTTCAATGTAAAAAATTCCTAGAGTTTTTATAAATAGCATTTTAAATTCTAAAAAAGCCTTTGATAGATATACAAAGTAGGTAGGTCTACATACATTTAAGTGTCTTAGAAAATAAGCAATCCTGAAGCAGACTCACAGAAAAGGGAACAGAGACCCTCATTCATTTATGTTTTCTAACACCATAGTAGACCCCTTAATACAAAAAAGAAAAAAAAAAATCTCTTCCTTCAATGATCTCTCACAGGCATCAACCTGTACCACTCACAACCAAAACACAAATCTCACCTCAACCCGCCTTTCTAGCCTAAGATTGTGCATTAATTAGTGAAAATCATAGAGGATTTCAAAGTGTTACACACTAAAGCTGTGCTAGCATGAAGAAAGTGTCAGATAAATCACAACGCAGAAGACTGGGGCACATGGGTGAGTTAAAAGTCTACTGTGGTGGTCTGCATCATTCTCTAAAGTAGGTGCTTACACCTCAAAGAGTGATCCAGTGAGATGTAGGAAGAAAATACTCAGAACTTAAATGTTACAATATTTTTTTATGCATACTGACATTGGTGACTTGATCTGTCCACAGAGCAAATAGTTGTGTTAGATACAGCGAACAAGATAAAACAAATAGCTATATGTCCGATAGAGTGGACATTTGCCAACTTTTTAAAAAATGACAAATGGCTGTCCATATTATGTAACATAGCAGGAGTTTTAAAAAATATATTTACCTGTTCTTTCAAGAGAAAGGGAATATTTTACTAGTGAGTTTAAAGAAAAAAAATTGTGGACAGACCACCTTAAAAAGAAAAGGATTACATCTATGTGATATCGCTGAAAATATGTCTCCTACAAAAATTTCAGTCCCACAATTTAAAAATCTGGAGACATAATTCCCCAAACCATTAAAAAATCATCTGCATTTTCCAGAGAGCTTCAAAATTAATTTGGCATAAATGGAAAAATTTAATTTCTTCTGAAAGACTTGCATGAACACCTGTTTAACAATTGGGGGTGGAGAATGAAAATAAAGAGCAAACAATCACAATGCACTTCTCTAAGCATCCCTGCCATACCTATCAATTATGAGAGCCCATAAGGACAAATTTATACTCAGCTAAGAACCAGGCCATCACAAACAATTACTTATACCTATGAGCGCAAGTATGCATGTATAACACTTATAAATGATATAATGGGAGCATATGCCAAAAATTTTATTGATGGGTAAGTGATCAAAAAAGCTTGAAGACCAATGATAAAATGGATTTGAGATACAGAACTCCATGGATTAATGGAAACAAAAGCATCAACATTATTAAAGTTATTTCTTGACAACTTGACAAATAATCAGGTAAATGTCTATTGCTAGAAAGGAAGTAAGCAAAGCAAATACCTAGAATGAATGGTTGGACTTGTCGGGAAAAACTAATTCCTGGGTCTTGAAAGCCTAAGAAAATTCAGCTCGACTGAAGTACCAGCGAGGTGGAGAGGCCGATTGCTCTCTGTGACAAAGCTGGAGTTTCCCGACTAGATTTTCCATGGACAGCAGGCCATTAACATCGCTAGTCATTACTTTGGTAACAAAGCTGCTCAGTTTACTTCTAAGAAATAATTCCAGTCTGTTCCTTACTAACAATTTCAAAATAATAATGAAAAACACACACCTCAATTTAGTGGCCTAATATGACCTGATGTCACAAGAGTCTAATTAAAGCGATTTAAAAAATTCCATCTAATGTGAATGAGCGTTCTTATATTTCACTGCAAAACTACTAGTGCGTTTGATTAGAATGCTCTAACCCTGCTGAGGGCAATATGTAAGATCAGACATACCCAAATTCTGAATTCTGAAACATCTGACCTCCAGAATTTCAGGCAAGGAGTTGTGGCTCTCTAAGGGATTCTATATGTCTTCCCCATCACATATCCCCAAGTGCCCACATTTTAACCTGCCCTGAAAGTCATAATCTTAGAATATAGAATATCAGATATCTTATGCAACCTTTACTGTTATCCATTAGTGTAATTCAGGGCTTGAAAAGTTCACAGACAATGGTGACTGAATCTTTTTCTACCTGCATAGCCCTACCCTCAGTGAAAATACAGACACTATGAATATCAGAACAATACGTTACCTCTCTTCTTTTTTCTCTCCGCTCCACCTTCTTACTCAAAGGAACAAGTTTCCTCTGTCGCTTTAGTGTAAGTTTTCGAATTCGAATTAGGTGCTGGGTGATCTTGGTGAATCTCTGCTTACACTTGTGTCGAATGAAACAGGGCCAGTAAATTAGATTTTCATCTATTTGCTCCAGTGCTTTCTCATAGTTTTTGTGAAGCCGGACCCGTTCCCAGAGCCGCCTAGGAAAAGCTGCTCGTTCTATCACCTTCATGTACAGGAAGCATTGTCCCTTCTCTTCTTTGATAGTGGCATACTGACTGTTTGCCAGGGGACAGGACGACCGGTTACACAGGCCAGTCAGGCTGTACTCATTTCTGCAAAAGCCCTGTGTCTTGGTTCTTATCTTGAAGGAACAAATACTCAAAGGAACAAGTTTCCTCCTACGGGAAATAAAACACGTTATCAGAAAACTCAAGTTTTCTTGAGTACCTGTGCTATGTGTTCCTTTAAAAAATGAGAGGAAAAGGACTGGAATTCATTTTGTAGGATTCAGATCAATACAGCAAGATTATATACTTAAAATTTTCTAGATAAATCTAATGCTATAAAAAAATCACATTTTTGTATCTACTTTAATGTGGCTGTTTTTGTTTTCTTGAGGTGTTCTGAGACTTCTAAGGACATTCGCTATGCCAACAATGCTTCAGTGAACTAAAAGGACTTTGCTGTAGAAGACTCATAGCTTTAGTATTCTCCATTAAGTCTGGATTTCATGTCTCTTTAAAAATGAGTTTGCATTGTACTCAAAGTAAAGTTCTTACATTCCTGTTCATTCACATTTTTAGGTCATTTTAAAATCCCCCCATTTTAAGGTTCCCGCAGGGAGTTATAAACAGAATGTTCTGAAGCTGGTTTTCAGACAGGGAGGGGATAATCAAGTTGTACTATACTGTTTTTAAATTCCTGCAAAATCGAAGGGCACGCCTTTAACCTGAGGTGAAGCTTATTCTTAGCATACCACAAAAGGCTACCCCAAGTTGAGTTTTATTAGAATATAACAGTATTACTAGAGGTTTCACAACACTGTTTCATAATATGATCCATGAAAAAATTGATGTAAAAATAAATAAATGATCTAAATACTTACTGTCGTTTTAGTGTAAGTTTTCGAATTCTAATTAGGTACTGGGTGATCTTGGTGAATCTCTGCTTACACTTGTGTCGAATGAAACGGGGCCAGTAAATTAGATTTTCATCTATTTGCTCCAGTGCTTTCTCATAGTTTTTGTGAAGCCGGACCTATCAAACAGATAAAGGAAGCTTGAGCCCAGTGGGTGTGGCTCAATGGTTGAGCATCAACCTATGAACCAGGAGATCATGGTTTGATTCCTAGTCAGGGCACGTGCTTGGGTTGTGGCTGGATCCCCATAGCGGGTGTGCAGGAGGCAGCCAAATCAACGATTCTCTCTCATCATTGATGTTTCTATCTCTCTCTTTCTCTTCCTGAAATCAATAAAAACATATTTAAAAAAGAAAAGAAAAAGGAAGCTTGAAGGGCAAGGATAAATGATCAGGTCTTCACTGTTAACAGCACTATGG